CCTTTTTCTTACATCTTTATTGTTCTGAGTAAACGTGCAATTTTTTTGGCCAAAACTATGAGTGCCTTAGGATTTGTTTAGTTGTATTTATGTATACGTTTCTAACATTAATTATGAGCACCAGTCTGAAATACAGACTCATGTTCTCCTTTTGATGTGATCTGAAGAATCTTTATGGAAAGACACGGAGCTACAATTAGAACCCAATGCACTGCATGCTTGCAGAATAGTCCAGGGCTAACGTTGGACTATTAAAAAATAAAAGAAACAAAACTAGGTATCAAAAGAGCTCATGTTCTGCTTGCTTGTGGTTGTGGGTCACAAACACTATCTGCACCTGTAGTAATAGTGGTTGTGCTAATAATGACAGCAAGTGAGACCCCCTGGAACCAGCCTGGGGAGGGGAACAGTGGATTTCACAGGTGGGTGCTGACAGCAATGGTAGTTTTCACGCTTCGTCACAGATTAATAAGAAAGGGAGGATATTAAAATGCTAATACTCATTAATACTCTTTTATGGGTTTAACGTGAAACATGGAAAATGAAAATGAATGACAGCTGGTAAATGGAACTGACAGTCCTGTTCAGGGCTGTAAGAAATAGCTGCAGGAAATAAAAGCTGTGTGTTCCCCATTTCTGCATTGAGTCATGCCAAACAGCATCTCCTAGTACTGAGATTTCTGCGAGATAACTTACATTTAGACTTAAGTAGACTGTTTTATTGCTATAAAGTACTTGTTGACAATTTTTCCTTACCAGCATTGGCCAGAGGGCTGTTATTCTCTGTGTCATCTGAAAGACAGTCTTCAGCAATATAAACATCTAGAGCAGAAATAACAGCTCATTGAAACATAATTGTGATATACCTTTGGTTTTTTGTTGTTGTTTTTTTGTGTGTTTTTTTTTGTTTTTTTACATCTTTTGTGTTTGTTTGTTTGCTTGGTTCATTTGGCTTCATTCTTCATTTCTCACTGAAGTTTCAGTAAATTTGCCTGCATCCCAGAGGCAGCTGTATTTCAGCAACAAGTTTAATCTGGCTCTCTGTGGGTCATAATGGTTGTAATGTAATGTATGCAATGCAGAGAGGTATGAGCTTCAAGCATCCGAAGAAACTTAATTCTGCTGTATCATGGACCATTCTGTTTGTGGTTGAAACTCAGTGAAAAATTCTGCATAGCTGTGTTTGAATATGAAATTGAAGGACGTAGGATATTTTCACCTGATGTTCTTAATGAGTTAAAATTCTGACTTCAGCACAAAGCTGCACTCTGCTTTTTCTGTCATACAGCAATGCCAGGAATACCAGGAAGATACAGTGCACAGGGACCAGGCATAAACGGGTTCTAAAAGCATGGCACTCCTTTCTCCCATGGCAATAGTACTTAGTAAGTTACAGTAGTTTGACCAAGTATCTTGATGTTTTACATTTTAAATAAGTTTAACCTTGTGTATTCTAGGTTTGTAATTCTTCATTCTGAGGAGAGTTACCAGGTCAGTGCAGGACAGCTGAGTGTAAATGGATGATGTGTACTCTGAGCTAACATTAGATATAGGCTTTTGCCAGGATTCCTTTGTTTAAAAAAAAAAAAAAATCTCTTGGATTTCCAGCTGTTCCTTGTGTATGAGTTCATCTGCCATGCTGTCTTCATTTCCCCTGTGTACGCACTGTCACTTGATGCTAATTTCCCATTTTGTTGTGACCTATTACTTGAACAGAAGATTCCATCCTATAGTTATTTCTTTTATATGCTTAAAATGTTTTTCTAATAGATCCCTTCCAAAACTGCTGCCCATCTCCCATTGTTCTCAATGAACTGAAGCCCCCCAGGTGCTGCAAGGTTAGTACCCTTCCTTTACAAGAAACAGTTTATTGGCACTGGCAGTCTTTGGCATTTGAAAATTGAAAACCTGCTACTTTTTGCTGAGGTGAAAACAGGCAGATGTCACTTCAAAAATAAAATGTTAGGGAATGAAGGACCACAAAAAAGGCTTGTCACCTTGGCTGAGTTTATGAAAGCATGTTTGTTTTGGCAGATGTTTCTCAAAAGCAGGTTCATTTTTATCGTCTCCACCGTCTGGATTTGCCTCTGAGGTGTCAGACCATGCTTACTCACATTTGGCTTATTATTGGGTTCATGCCAAAATTTTGTATGCCCTCCTCTGCTCTACCCACCCGTTCACTTTCTTTCTCCTGGATATGGTCAGATTTCTCTTTACGGGTATTTCATTCCTACTTCTTGGTGCGACAGAAGAAAACAAGCTTGGAAACTGCTGTGATGCCAAGTTTTGCAATTTGAAGAGAATAAAAACGATTGCTTTCTTCGGAACGTGCAGTCTTGCACTTCTCAATATATGCATGTGTAGTTCAGGATTTTATTATGAGAGATTTTAACACTCAGGATCCTTTTTGGTTTGTTTTCTCCTTAACCTAGATTACAGGCAAACTGGTTCTTTCAAAGTCTCGATAATTTTTCTTTGACGAAGTTTCTTCAGTGCTATTCCTGCTTTGATTTGAATTCCTTTCCTAGTCCCAGCCAGATGTTTGCTTTGCCCGGTTGTTGACAGATAATATTCTCACGCTATCACTTCATATTTCCACGATTGCAAGATCTGTCACAAAAAAATCCTGGATTTTTGTCACTAAGAGCCTTTCTGTAAATGTTTTAATTCTTTCCAAAGGCAAATTCCTTTAACGTTGCAAATATATTCTGTTCAAAAAGCAAGCAAAAGGCAAACGTTCCCAGTTTTCCTTTTCCAGTAAGAAGAGTGTGTTCCTGAGCCACATCTTATGGGTGACCCAAAGATTTTCTCTACCTTTGCTGCAGGAATGTGGTTAACACTTCAGAGAATTGCAGGAACACTTTAGGTATTCAGCCAGGAAAGAGTAAAACATCCAAAAACAGTCTAAACTTTGTCTTTCCCCCTTTCCACTGCTTTCATTTCCTACCGTGTTGTGTTGTCCTCTGCATCAGACTATTTGAGACTGCCAAATACTTGGATATTTTATAGGTAATATATCTTATAAATGCCACGGCCTGCCTCTGAGGGAAACACGGGATTGTCGGTTTTGGATGGAGTATAAAACCTGAGCAGGAAATCATTGCTGAATGGCACAGCTGCAGACAAACATTTCAGGCTAGTAAACTGCCCATCTGCACAGCCACACATGTGCTGGGACAGCCGTGGTGTGCGGCTGCTGGTGGTTGGTGCTGGGAGATGTTGTGATTAACAAATGGGGTTCTGCTTCGTTAGTTCCTGAAATGCTGCTATCTGAAGATGACTGTAAGATTTGAAAGGAGGAAGGGAGATTGTAGACTAGGGAAGAATTACAGATCCAGGGTGGCTCAGATGATCCTGTTGCCAGCTGGAGGATGCAACACAGCCTACAGTGAAGGACTGAACTCTACTGTTTGTAGAGAAGAAGGAAAACACTGTGTTTTTTCTTAGGCCCGAACCAGCGATCACATCTGGATCTTCCCCTCAAAGTTACAGACAGCAAATATTGTCTTGGTCTTTAGTTCTGTTTCACTGTCGTTCACCTGAGCAGGGATGTGAGAGGGGGCTGAGCTGTGTTCCTCAAAGAGTGAACTGTTTAAAATTCCGCTTTGCTGGAGTTTTTGCCAACTTAAATCTCTTCAGGAAGCTCATTCTAGCACTTTCCTCTTTTAAATTAACCTGTTATTTGTGCCTATTTTTGTTATTTCCATTGTAAATAGCTCCTCTTTTTTACACATTATCTTTTGATGAGTTATGTAGCCAAGCTTTCTGTTTAGCTCTCCCAGTCCCTCCTCTGAAGTTTAGCACTTCCTGTTATATGTGCCAAGTTTGAGTTTATTTTCCACATGATTTTCCCAAGCACTACTTTCAATAATCCAGAATTCAGTAACAAATGCAGATTGTTAAAATAATGAACAACAACAATAAAACTCTTTTAAGACTGCGGCTCATGCACTGCAACTGTAAAAACTATTCATTTGTGGTGTTTTTTTTTTTCTCAAGTACTTTATTGAAAAATAAAACTACCTTCTAATAGTCAAAATTAAATTATAAAAGTTATAATCTCATTGTACTGTAGACTTTCTACGCTGATATTTGTCTGTTGGGGAAGGTTTTCTTGATTTATTGTGATGCATAAATCAATGCAGGAGGGAAGGTAATTTAGAGATTGGGTGCCTTGTTTCAAGCATAGATGGCTTGGGTTGAAGTTCCTCCTTGATCACAAACCTCTTATGATTTCCCTGACCTTGGTATTGGGGTGTCAGAATGAATATAATAAAAACTGAAGTCTGTACACAAGGAAAATGAGCCAGCTGAGGCATTGGGAATGTTTTCTATTGATTATGATGTATTTTGGATCAGGCCACCTAAAGAGTGTGAAACTCTTGGGATTTATTAAAATGTGTTGATTTTGTTTGCTTAAAGACTGAGTCTTTAAAATGTTTTTCACGTTTTGTGTGAGCAGGAGGACGTCATTAATGTCTGTACCATAAATATCTTCATTTAAGAATCAGATATTTCAGATATCTTTGAGCATTTCCACATTTTGATCATAAACAAAATGAGCTTCTGTGGGTTTTTCCCTATAGGCACTTTATTCTCTCTTTTCCTGTAAACAGATGCCATTTTTAAGCCACATAAAATGGATTGCAGTTGTGGCCATTACGATATTGGCACTATTCTACATTCCAGCTGCACACAAGCACGAATTGCAGAGTGATGCCTTATTAAATTATAGGCATCTCTGTTAAGATATAGGGGAATTACTTCTGAAGAGGAAACTTTTTCCTTATTTGCAGTCATCCTTTACAATTTAATGCATTAAGGAAGCACATGAGTAATGAACATTGCCTTAGTGCCACACATATGTTGAACTACCAGGCATTTTTATCTGTCCTCATGAAAAACATGCCAAGTATCTGTTATTGTTATGCAAAAAAAAAAGAAAGAAGGCGCACGAGTTGTAGTGTTTGTGGACTTCATAAGTACATCTCCTTCCCCAGGACAATCACATCTCTCCGGAGTGAGCTGATCCCACATCTGGTTAGGAAACAGTTCTCTGTTCCTACGTCGTTGCAGCAGGGAGTAGACAACAAAGACGAGGGCCGAAAGAAAAAAGAACAAGCATCTCTAGGTCAGTATGAGTATCAAAAATTTGGTGAATGCTTAAATCACCTATGCTGCAAATGAATTATTGTGTAGAAATATTATTTTTCTTTCTTGTACTTTCTGATGGCAAAGGTTCTAGTAATTTTCCTTTTCAGATGGTATTGTGCATTTAATAAATATTTTTAATGTAAGTCAAGCATCAATCAGCTAGGTGCTCTGTATTTATTTTTCCAAACTACAGTATATGTAAATGTACTTTTGAAAATGTAACTTTAGGAGGAAGTTCTGTTGTGTAGAACAACAGACAAAGCCATAACTAGGAACTTGATGAGATCTCAGATCTTGAAATTTATTTTTAGCATTTCCACAGTCTCCTTGTGTGACCTTGGGCAAAAGATTGCATCTGTCCCAATCCCTTGATTCCCACCTGCAGAATAAAAATAACAGTTACTCACTGCATGTGATAAAATCTGTTAATGATTGCTCAGTATCTAACCATTCAGGTGATGTGGGGCAAAGATCTCCCTTCACCAACAGTATTTTAATAGTACTCCTCTTCAGAAAGCATTTCATTAAATCCTGTCTAACTTCATGCATGTGTGTGTTCTCCAGACATTTATAGTTTCATAAAGGAAGATAATAGCTTGCTGAAACCTGCTCCAGATAACTCCTGTTGGAATGATCATAGAGGAGATATGAACGAAACTCTCCATGAAGGAAAAGTACGCTGCTATGTCCATATAATGAAAGAGGGGCTGTGCTGCCGAGTGAATACGCTTGCGTTGTATATTGAAGCTAATCGACAGGTGAGAACAGTGAACTGTCGTGGGAATACAGCAGTTTATGGGACATTTTAGTCTCCAGAAGTGGCTCCCTGTGGTACTGCTGAGCAGTGTGTGGGAATTGAACCGGTGCCGTGTTATCTAGGTGCATCACCCTCCTGATTGCTGCGCAGGGACGTGAGAAAAGGAAGCAGTTCTGTCACTAATTTCCTCCACGGCTTTGATTTAGCCAAGAAAACTACCACAGATATTCTGCTGATTTTGGGGAGTGACAAAACTTGCAGCCAAAGAGCCAAGAAGTGTGGAAAATAAGGTTGGAAGTAGCTTCGGTAGTTCATGTAGTCAGCGTCATCCGTGTCCTAAAGGCAAGATCAGTTCTGGCTGGACTCTTCTTAGCAGATGTTTATCTAAGTGATAATGACAAAGGTTTTTAGTGTTTTGCAGGAAGTCTGAAAACTACCCATACATTCAGATTGCCTAATGCTTTCTATTATGAAAGAATTATTTTGTGAACAGGCTTCTCTACAGTCCAGGTAAACGTAGAGGTGAAATGTTGATCTGTTGCAGCCTTCAGTTACTGTCACATTACTGAGAATTCATAATATAGAAGATCAAAGAGAGGCATAGAAAAATCCTAGCTAACACGCTGATGATTGATAGCTTTTATTCCTAGTATGAGAATTCTGCATTGCTGATGCAATTTAAAAGTTCTCATTTCACTCTTGAACTGATGAGCTTTGTGGTATGAGATGTGAACAGTTTCCTCTAGTTCTGAAAAACTGACAGGGAGTGCAGTAGGGTAAGGCTCAGGATTTCTAGAAGCAGTGCTGGTAGAGCAGTATAGTTGTACTGGGAGTCCTGGAGGTGGTCACTTCCTTGCCTTTGCTTGAGTTGGTTTCTTTTTTACTAAAATTAATGAATGAATTTATGCAAACTTAAATTGCAGTGTGGCAGAATGAATTCACACATGGAGCTCTTTATCCTTGGTTCCTGTAGATGAGCACAGAAATAAAGCGATTTGGGTTTTTTTGTTTGTTTGTTGTTTGCTCTTAAGGATGTGAGAAAGTGAAGGGGGAGGCAACACTGCTGTCAGAAAGGGAAAAGTTTCCGCAGGAACATCAGTGTGCCCAAAGGGTTAAGAGAGAATATCACTTGCTAGGGGAAGTGTGCGTGTACATTTGGCAGCAGCCACTTCAGTAAAAAGTTATTGAGTTGAGCCAGTCAGACTCCATGTGGTTTTTTTTTTGTTGTTGTTCTTTTATTTTATTTTTTTTTCTTAACCTAAATATTCTACATTTTGGTCAGTTCAGGAAATGTGTTTGCTCCTGGGTGGTACATAGAATTAGTGTTTTGAAATCACACTGAGGCCTTCAACATTGGATAAGATTTTCTTTGAATTTATAACTTATCCAGAATGGTAAAATTTCTAAGGAAACTATGTGGAAGTAAAGCATAAAACAGAGCTTAATTAGAGGTTGTGAGAAAGGAGTTCTTTTTTTCGGTGCCCCTGTATTTTGTTTCTCTTGATATTTCTGATGAAATATAAACATTTCTTTTCATGTTCTTCTTTTTTTTTTTTTTTTTCCTTCTTCTTGTCTTATTGGTCTTTAATGAAGACTTTTGGTGTCTGTCTTACTGGCTCCTGGTCCTCACAGACCAGATTTTGATTCACTGGCTGCAAAGCTTGGACCTGTAACTCTGCTGTCCAAGAGGACAGGCTCCCAGATCAGTAGCAGTCCAGTCCAGTAGCCGTGGGAAGGAATGGCATCCTAACCCATTGCCCTTCTGGTGAGGAAACACTTTACTCACATCATTTCACTTCCAGCTGGGTTTCTGGATGCCTGCAGCCTGTGTGTGGGCAGGTGGGTTCAGGAGGGAGTTATCTTCAATAGCAGGAAATAGTTTCTTTGTAAGATGAATTAAATCCAAACACATCTTAAACCTTCCCTTGACCCAGGCACTCCCTCTGACTCCTGCCCCCTATCTAACCTTCCTTTTCAGAGTTAAATGCTTGAGCTGGTAGCTTTCTTGGTTCACCCCTCAGACTGCACTACCACTGATTGATTCTAATAAGAGTTTTGCTCTAGCCAGTAAAATCTTTTATTTATTTCACCACACCACCTTTCTATTGAGAAGGGCAGGAGCCTTTCCTTGTTCCTTTCCCTTCCCACAGGGTAACACTAGACAGTAGGAATCTTTACAGCCTACACTGTAGATATGACTTGGTGTGAACTCCTCTCTCAGCTCTGTCTGTTGTGGCAGCCCTGCTGTGTGTCAGGTGAGGTCAGTGTCCCTTCACCAATCCAGTGTGTAATCCAACTGGGTTGGCCTACAGTGAGTTTTGGTAAGCTGGTGGTTTTCTGTAGCATCTGCATCTTGTACCAAAGGATTTCACCCGCTTTGTTTAAAAAGAAAGAAAGAAAGAAACAAAAACAAATCTAGTGGGAAGAACCATCTCCAAGACGTGAAGAGTTACAGGGGTAGAATATTCAAGTTAGATTTTAAAAATAATTTCTTCTCAGAAGGAGTGGTGATGCATTGGAACAGGCTGCCCTGTTGGGAGGTGGAGTCAGCATCCCTGGAGCTGTGCACTGAGGGGCATGGTGGGGTGGATTGGGGTTGGACTGGATGATCTTAGTGGTCTTTTCCAACTTTATTGATACTATGATAATGTCTACTGGGGACAGCAGGCAAAGCTACTTGAAAAGGTAGCTTAGAGGTGTGAGCTCATCTGAGCTCATCACACTTATCCAAATGAAGTATCAACTGTGAAAATTCTTATCATATGGAAACAGCACTATTTACCCATCCTTGCATGCTGGAAGGGAAATGGGTTGATCATGTTATGAATATCTGAGCAATTTCCTGAATTATCATCCCATTTTGAGATCTTACAATATATTTTTCTGATCTGATCCCAACTTCTTCAGATGTATGGGATCTGCTTCTGGAGGTTCACTTTGTAACTATCAGCTCTTGTTATCCCAGCTTTCCAAGGAAGCCATTTTACACAGCCATACCATATGGCAGTTCCTTCAGAGCAAGTGTGGAAATTACTACCAACTCTCAGCCAAATTATACATCAGTAGAGATCTCCAAAATAGAGTTTTCCAAAGAGTTTTGTCAAAATAAGTGCCTAGGTGAGAAAAGAGAGGCTTAATGAGTGGTCTTTCCTCTCCCTTTGAGTAATCCCAGTTGTACCACCACCATGCTACCCTCCTGTATGGACAGCACTCTCATTCTGGCTGTCCAAACAGCGTGTGCAGAGCTCTACAGCAGCCCCAGCATACCCTGCTTCTCGCTCAGGCACACAATCTGCCATGACACAGACCTTTTGGCACTCACAAGTCAACTTGTCACCTTCCATATCTTCTGTGTTTCTTTGCCTGCTGCCTCTGTCATACTGAGCTGCACCGTACGCTGCATCACTGCTCTGTGACTCCATGCAGCACTGTCAGTGCTGTGCTGTGAGCCTTCTGCCTCGCCTTGTATCGTCATCTGGGCTGTCATCACCTTCTCTGCGGTGTGTGACCTTGGCCCCAGCCTGACGCCAGGAGATGCAGAATGCCTCAGGCTGTTCCTTCACCCAGAAAAGGGGGAATTATAAAGTGATATCCCATTCTCTGACAGCAGTGGCTCTCCCTTCTTTTCGGGAGCTGGCTCAGAATTTCTCTCTGTGGACTTGTTCTTGGCTACCTCATGGACCACGAGTCTTTCTATTACCATTGCTGCTTTGTTTGCTTATCTAACACCTGTCTTCTCCCTGTTAAGAACCTTTTCTTCTGCAGCTTTCTACCATCTGGAATAATCTACTCATTCAATTTCAGATACTTTCTTCTGAAACATCTGAAAGACTTTTTCGTTGTCTGTATCTCAGCACATTTAGTGAGGGGGCTGAACGCAGTTGTCATTTTATGCCAGTTTATATTTGATACTACTTCCTTCTCTCTTGCATTACTGAATGACACAGAACATTTTGAGTTGCATTTAGAATGGCAGATGATGGACAAGCCTGTAAGGTAGTATATGGGATGTCACTGTGTCCTGCTGGAATCAGTCTGCTTGCTGATGATGATCCATTGCTTCTCCACTGGTGGGAAGCTGAGTTGAGAGGGAGACATGTAGCACACATGGAAGTATATCCCGCTCCTTTACGAAATGGGAAGGTGATAAACCAGTTGCAGATTTAAAATGTAAGAACTTACATTCTTCTATAAGTTAATGAGTTTATGATACAAGCACAATAGAAATCATAGCCACCCATGTTTATGTAACATACAGATATAGCACTGTCCTGTTAACTCGTAATGTCGGCTCCTCCATCCAGGTTCCCAAACTATTGCTTAATCTGGGTCTGGAAGAACCACTGGTCCATGGGACTGCACAGATCACTGACAGAGGCATGGTAGGTGTTTCCTTTCCCCATCTCTGCTCTTCTAATGCAGTCTGCATGCCCTTTGCCTCAAGAACTGCTTCCTAAAATTCTGTCCCACTGCTGGATGTGAAACTGAGTTCTGAAGTATAGAATTACAAGGTGAATGATACAGCCAGGAATCTGCTTGTAGATTCTCCCATGTGTTCCTGCCTTCCAGTCTCTATCTTTAAGCATATTTGGTAAAAAATTCTACCTTATCCCCAAGTTCAAACACTGCAGTCTCTTGTTCCCTATTGGCAATTTGTGATATTTGAGCAGTTTTCCTCCCAAAGATCTTTCCTCTGCCAAGATTGCCCAAGGGTAGAGCAGAGTGTGCTTTGTGGATGAATGCTTGAGACATGCTGTTTGGAGCACATGTATGGAGAACGCGTATCAGAGTTCCAGGTCCTATGTCAGTTTCCATTCTTTTCCTTCTTAGGTTGGATCAGACAGCATCATTGGGTCATCCACACAAATTGGAGAGAAGACATCCATTAAACACTCCATCATTGGCAGCGCATGTACCATAAAAGACAAAGTTAAGATAACAAACTGCATCATCATGAATTCTGTTACAATTGAGGAAGGGTATGTCACCTCTTTGTATTTTGGACCTCTAAATTTCCTTTTCCAGATAAATTGTTAGCATGCAATTTTTGTCTTGTAACTGATCCTCAGTCAGAACTGTTGATTGCTAGGAAGGTATTTCTAAGGACCAAATCAGAAATGTCTCTATTAACAAATAAACAGGCTACAAATGCAAGTGAAATGGTTTAATGAGGGTATTATGAGATAATAATGAGAAATTGAAATATAATTTCTTTTTAGAGGAGATTATAGCCTCTTCAGAATGTGGGATTCAGGTAAGCGGATATATGTCTGTATGAGCTTGTGTGTCATCTTTCCAAATTCTGTTTCAGTGGCTGGGTTTGTGAGCATACCTAAAATATTTGAGTCAGGACATTATTTGAAAGTGGTACTCTTACTAACTACAGATGTTATCACCTTTAAATAACTTTCCCTAAGATGTGATTTTCTTTTGTTTATTTCTGTCATCTTGCATCTTTACTTTATTATTGCCTTATGCTTAGTAATAGAATCAATAGTAAACTTCTTGAAAAAAAAATCTGCCAGCTAGTGGAGGTTTCCCACACGTTAAAGACACTAAATAGGTAGCCTTGAGCTATTCATTTCCAAATGTGGAAAAAGTGGCCTATCTGTAATTGTTGATGTCTGCATGCCCCCATCTTTCCGTACAAGCTAGCTTCCTGTGGATGTCAGTGGAAAGGAAACTGCTGATTGAGTCTGTGCAGGCCTGTATAAATTCCCTGCTCCTTCATGGCTTGAGGTTTGCTTAGGGCCTCAGGAAAAAGGCCAAAATCTTAAAAAAAAATGCCAAGTTGGCTCTGAAAGTTGCATATCTGAAAAACAAAAAACCCCAAAGGATGTGGGGTCTATGGAGGATACTACTGTTACATAACTAAATTACAGGTAAGTATGGTACCTTACTGCCAAGTGTTTGTCTTTAATAGAAATCCGCAGTAATTTCAAGCACATCATAAATCAGAATTCTTTTGAGTATAGAAAATAGCTGGTTTCCAGTTCAGTTGCAAATGGATCCAGTATGGCTGTATCACAAGCGCTACTGTCATAAGAAGTACCAGAACCTCTCTCGTTTGATCATGAGACCCTCTGTCATTTTGATTAATGAATTGATACCACAGTCATAATAGTATGGTTTTGCATATGAGGTGAGCAGCTCTACCACGGAGGCAGCTAAGAGTATAAATAGTGATGTTCTTATGAAGAGTCCCAAATTAGCTTGTGTTTGTCTGCACTGTTACGTAGTGCTGTTTTCCAAATCCTAAATCAAACATACCGCAAAATTCCACAGCCATTATAAAGATGTTAAGATAATAAAAATAACTTTTTGGGTAATATTTCATGAATTTCTGGAAACCAGTTTCATCACTGCTCATGCTCAGTGAAAACAGTGTCGTCACCAATAAGTGATAAATCTTGCACTCCTCAGAGTTTCACCCTTAGCTGCTCCATCATTGCACATTGCACACTGATGCACTGGAGTAAAATTTGTAATCTTTCCTCTCCAGTCCAAATTAATCTTACATACATTAAGCTTTACTTAAAAACATACCATAATTAATGTTGCATGGATCTGCACAGATACTGTATTGATAAAGTGTTACTTATTGCATCACTGTAATCCTTAAGATTAGAGAGATGTGAAGTCATGCATACACAGGTGATGAGGTACAGGAATATCCAACTGCTAAGTTTTGTTGAAAGAAGTCTTGCTTATAACTTAGTAAAAACAGTTTCTGTGTATTTTGACCTTCTTTCATGTATTTGATTAAATCTGATGGTTTTTTGTTATAATGTTAATGATTCTGAAACACGTTGATGGATCCATTTGCAACAGGTGAATAAATTATATGTGATTTTTCTTTAAACTGCCCACAGTGGACAGCTTTGCTTTCCAAACATCTCTTCTCCCAAGCGTGTCTGAGTAACTCAAGCTTTACCTAATCACCGACTTCAGAAAGTGTCTTTCACTTTAGTTAACAAGTCAGCATATGTTGGCTGGTCTGAGTCAAAATGATCGTAATAAAATACCTTAGCAGATCTAATTTATCTTTTTTTGTTGCATTGTGAATGTTTCAAACATGAGCCAGTTTTAACATCATCTAAGGTATTGCACATTAGAAACTTCTGGAATCGCATTGAGGAGCAAATAAAAGATGTCATCTAATGAATATACATTGTAATATTGACATGAAGCTCCACCAAACTAATGCTGTGTTGTGCAGTAGTCACATGTGAGTGATAACTGCAGGCTGGGCCCACCACCATTCATTGCAGCAACACCAGCCTGGAAAAGTAGGCTGGAAGGGCTGCTATAGGGCACACTTTGGAGAAAACAAAGCTTTTTGGTAACCTAGGGAAGAAAGAAAGATCAGGTAAATCATTTCTGGAAGTCAGAAGGCTGGGAACAACTAAATGCAAAAATTGCTCAGCGTTCTAAGTTCATTTATCAAGAGTTGTGATTATGCATGCCACTACCCTGGCATCCTTTTACTACTACTTAGTAATCCTTTTACTACTTACATCGCCTCTAGTTTCTCTGGTTTGAATCTCACTGACTTTGGTTTTTCCTACATCTTAACTGGATAAATGCTCATGTGTCGGTACAAAGGAAAGCGTGAAAATTGTTTTGTCTCTTGATGTCCTGTAATGTGAATTGAGGATGCTGTTGGGCCTGCCATGGTTCTTTTGGCTTGAGGACCCACAAATTACATCTCCAAACCAGAAAAGGTTTCAAAGAACCTTGCAACATTTGATGCGAGCTTCTAAAATGGATAAACAGATTGTTTCTGGGCAGAGGGAAAAACCACGAGGGATTTATTACAAAACAAGGTTCTTATTGTTAGGCTGTGGTTGGTTCATTCTTGGACCAAGGATCAAGGACCTGGATTTCGCTTGGATAGTGCCATTTCATCCTGTTTCCAAGTTACAATCCATTCTCCAGTGATGGCTGTGTTTGATATTCTGGAGGACCAGTAGCAGAGTTTTCGGTTTTTCCAGCTCTGGTGTGTAGGGCTTCTGTTATGCTATACATATCTCTTGTGAAGTGATTTGAGTAGATATGAATCCCCCTTAGATGAGATTACAGGGGATTAAAGAAGTTAGTAACACAGGCAAAATAATTGGCAGTCCTCTCTTAATGTATTTCCCACTGTGAGCTAATTCTTCCATCAATGAGATAATAAAATAGTGAAGATTACATATGTGCAGAGTGATGGACATACTTGACCAAGCTGGGGGGGATGTAATTTATACAACAGTGCAAGTGCTGAGAGATGCTGACTATCCAGGTGACAGGCTGCAGCGGGAAATAGTTCTTATTTCTCTCTGCACTGCTCCCTTGAGCTCAGTGACAAATGACTGCACTGAGTTACATACTTGGAGAAAACCTACTAATCGAGCTGAAATTGTAGATCACTTGAAAAATGTGTGCATCTGAATGCTCCTGCAGTAGCTGTACATGCCCGCAGTCTCTGTTGTGTCTTGGGGATGACCCTTTTGTTAGTTCTGTTTGCATTATGTGTAGTGCAGTACAGCAGGGTCCCTAAATTCAGATTAGGCGCACTTAATTTCCTTGAAATGAGATCTAGATATTGATGGAGGAATTCATACAAGACCCTGTGCTGAAGCGCTCCACGCATTGTAGATAATATTAACAGGAAAACCGTGCTAAATCCTTTATTCCATGCTAGCAGATAAAGGCTTTGAAATCTCTTGTTTGTTAATAAGACTTTGTGAGTGTATATACTTACCGAAAGGATCTTTGCCATGTCATGTGCACAGTGTATCCCTGTGCCTTGGTTGTGGGAGCAGAACATTTTCCTCGGAAAGATTCAAGAGATGGGAATATAATAGGAAAAACAAAAAAGCAAAATAAAACAAACTGACCTTTGAACGACTTACTTTGGACTTACTGGTGTTTGAGGAGGCAAGCATGAAAAGCTCAGATAAATATCAAGACAAAAGATCCATGGAAAGCTGTGCTCTGAAAATAGCCTTTTGGCATGGTGGTTGCCGGTACCCTAGGAGCTCTGTGGCAGATTTAGTCTCTTAAATGAAGTATTTTGCTCCAATGGTGGTAGCAATATGCTTCCAATGGTGGTGGAATCATGAAGGTTGGAAAAGACCTCCAAGACTGTCTAGTCCAACCACCAACCCATCGCCACCATGTGGTAGCTGTTCCTATGGAAGCCGTTAATACAGTGCTGTGGTTATCAGACAAGGATGGCAGCAAGACACAGCTGCCGAGATTAGCATCAAGATCTCGTTCCACAGTTAGGAAGCACTAGGTCTTCACAGAACAACCAAGGAAGCTTGGCTTGTGTCACCTATAGTTTTAGCAGACAAAGGGCTTATTGAGGATGATCATTTTTTAAAATGGAAAAGATAAATGGAATCTCTGGTCATCTGCATGGCACCAACCAGAAAATTTTAGGCATTACGTGCCGAGTCAATGACAGAGAAGTAAGTTGTGTTGGGTGTTGCTGTTGATGTCCTTGCTACCAGTGTAAAGTCAATGGTGCAGACACTGTACTGTTACTCAGTGGACTGTAGTGAGACCACGTGTGACTAGTTAAACACTACTCTAGTTTACCACATGTCTCCAATTTATTGCTACTTTCTATGAGAAAATGTACAAAGGAAGAAAACAACAAGCAAGCTGAGCTGGATTGGCTACTAAGTGCAGATTGATTGTGAAGTTTATTGGTTGTTTCCTCAATAGTGCCAAATCAGCACCTGATGTAGAAACAGTGAGCGGTTTGAAAAAATTCTAATTAAAACCAGGATGGAATTGAGCATTTATAGGGGTTCAGCACATAAGTGGTCTTTTTCCTGTTGGATAAGAGCAGTACATAGGAATGATCCTATTGCCAAAACAACATTTGTTGAAATTGTAAAATATATTTTACAGCACATTCCCTCATGAGAAGGAATGAGGAGAGATGAAGTTGTTTCCAGAACCATAGCTTACAAAACTGGAAGCA